TATTTGCAGCCGCTCCCCAGCACTAGCATCACCACCTCGGCTCCACCTCAGATCATCAGGCATTAGATTCTCATAAGGAGCTCGCAACCCAGATCCCTCACATGCAAGTTTATAGTGGGGTTTGTGCTCCTGTGAGAATCTAATGCCTCCACTGATCTGACAGGAGACGGAACTCAGGCAGTGATGCGAGTGATGGGGAGCGGCTGTAAACATAGATGAAGCTTTGCTCACTCCCCCACTGCTCACCTCCTGCTATGTGGCCTGGTTCCTAACAGGCCATAGAACAATACTGGTCCGTGGCCCAGGGATTGGGGACCATAGGTTTAGAGGATGAAGAGGACTTTATAGCCTTTATAGGACTAGGTCTATAACTATCTTTCTCCTTACAGCATTTTAAAACTTAATGTGTAATTTATACACCACAAAATACACATATTCAGTTCTATAATTCTTGACAATTCTATATACCTGTGCAGCTGTCATCAAAAACAAACTATAGAGCCTTTCTGTCACCCTAGGGAGTCTACTAGCACCCCCTTCCAGTCAGTTCCTGCCCTCCCCCAACCCCCAAACCAGGTACCACATTCTGATTTCTGTCATCGTTGATGTAATTTTACCTGTTCTTGAATTTCATATGAATGAAATCATGCAATATATATTTTTTATGTCTGGCTTCTTTTGTTCAACATGCTGTATTTAAGATTCATTCATGTTGCTGTGTGCATCGGTAGTTCACTCCTTGCTACAGCTGAGTAGTATTCCATTGTATAGATATACCACAATGTGTTTATCCGTTCTCCTGCCAGTGAACTTCTGGGTTGTTTTCAGTGTTTGGCTAATATAAATAAGATTGACATGAAAGTTCTCATACAAGTCTTTCTGTGCACATCAGTTTTCACTGGTCTTGAGTAATTACCTAGGGGTGGAATTGTAGGGACATAGGGTAGGTGTATGTTTAACTTTATAAGAAACTGTCAGAGTTCATCAAAATGCCTATAACATGTCACATTCCCAATAGCAATATATTAAAGTTCCAGTTGCTCTACATCCCCACCATCATTTGGCATCATCAGTCTATTTAATTTTAGCCATGCCAGTGGGTGTGAAGTGATATCTCATTATGGTTTTAAGTTATATTTCCCTCATGACTAACGATGGTGAGAACATTTTCATGTGCTTATTGACCATTTGTATATCTCCTTCCATAAAGTGTCTTTTTAAGTCTCTTGCCCATTTTTTTTTTAAAAAAACCAAGATAATTATCTTTTGAGTGTAGATTTGTAAAAATTCTAAACATATTCTGGATATAACTCCTTTATGAGATAATAATTAAAAATAGTCCAAACCACAATTTTTATTCCATTTTCTTACCTACAAACTAAGGAAAGTTAAAATAAAACTAAGACAGGCATGAAAAGAAGAGCCTGCCTTTTTTTTTCATTTTCACTTTCGTTTTGTTTCCATGAAACTGAGTCTGTGAAGGATCTCTTTGCTGCAGGACGGTCCCAGGGGAGTTCCAAGGCCAGGAATCTGGAGTGGGGGGTCCTGGCGAGGGGAGCAGAGTAAGGCTGAAGTACTTGAGTTGAGAGGGTGAGCCCAGAGGTCTGGCATCTTGGGATTCTGAACCTAAACTGAATGTGAAATATGTCCAGGATCCTACATCTGGTGTTCCTATATTCTTTCCTCCCCTCTGCTTATCCTCCTCCACTCTCGTCACCTGACATCATTAAGTTGAAGAACCCAGGTCTGTTGTGAACCTGAAGAATGAGAATTTCCAGGGCTCCTCAACTGAACGGCCTGACCCCCGAGGCCTCTCTCCCTTGATCCACATGTGCTTTGCTCTGTGGGACCCCCCCTCCCCATTTGTATGCTTTTAATGTTTACTGGAGTCTAAATTATTCTCTTTCCTATGGATTTTCTGTTCCCTCAAGGAATGTTTTTTCACTGAGTTCCTCCTCTCCACCTTTTTCCTGGAATAAAAGGCTAGTTACAATAGTGGCTCATTTTTGCTTTTTAACAAAAACATTTGTTTTCAAACCAGAAGCTTGCCTGACTGCTAATAAACAAACCTGGCTTTCCAGCCTTTCCTCATGCTTCTGCTATGAACTGGTCAGCCAGCTGCTTGCTGGCCCTGAGCACTGGCTCCGCCCACTCCAGCCTCCTTCCCTGCTCGGACAGCCCTGAAATGCTCACAACCTTCCTCCCAGTCTGCTCAAGCCCTGACGGCCCTTCCGAGGAAATCCTCTGGCATGAAGAGCTTCACGACAACCCCCAGACCCAGAAGTCTTTCTCCGGATTATCTATAACATGGGACTTGGGCCAGTTTGCCGATACAGAGACAAGACCATGAGAAGAAGAATCTGCACCAGATTTAACTCCATTTGGAGAGAATGTGTTCAGCCCAGAAACTAGGGCCTGAACCCGATGAATGAAAGATGAACACGAGGTCCCCAGAGAGCATCCCGCTTCGAGGCAACCTTTCTTACTTTCTCCTTCCACTCATTTAACTTCATCTCAGCTCCTGGTCTGCTCCGTTCCCCTCTTGGCTCTGGTAGCCTCTGTGTCCTTCACTGTCCTGAATTGATTGGAGTGTTAGGATATGATGACCTCTTTGAGAGATACATTGGCAATATTTCTCTTCTAAAAATTGTCTACGCTACAGGCACAGCTATAAGAAAAATCAAAGGTGCTAAAAAGAAATTTAGAGAGGGTAACAGGCAGTGGGAAATGGGAAGGCTCGCTTCAAAAAGAAGCCCAAGAATTTCCTGTCAGATAAAATGCACCAAGTCCAGTATTCTGCTGCCAAAAATTGCTCCGTGGGAGTTGGTTTAGCAGCCACCTTGGGCTCTGTTCTCACAGAAACTTTTCCATTGGCTCCTCCCATTTTCTGGATCTTCCCAAGAATTTATGTGTAGAGAAAACTTTAGTCCCTCTTCCCCAAATGTTTTCTGTATCTGCCTGAATTG